GGGCCAGTTCTGAAGCGGAATTGGGCGGGGAGCTGCGCTCAGGGAGCTGGGAGGCGGGCTTCAGGGCTTGGGTGGGCGGTGGGCGGTGGACTCAGGGGAACCGATGTTCCGGTTTTAAGGGGCTCGGGGGAATCTTTGCGGAGCCAGGGGCTGTGGCTCGCCGAGCCAAGCGGGTCAGTGGGCGGAGCTCTAAGAACCCCGCTCCAAGTTCTAAGCTGCGGTGGGCGTTGCCGGAGACTCCTCTGGGCGTGGCTGTCTGGCCACTCAGGGCGGGCTCTGTGGCACCGCCCTCCTCCTTGGCCCACCTGCATCCCTCGGCGCGACCAGAGGGGCGCTAGGGAGGGCGAGGCGTGGAGCGTCGAGTGGGAAGCGGGCTTCCCCTCCCGGAAGTGGGCGTGGAGCACCGTGGCCCGGCGCCCCTGGTTGGGCGCGGCGCGGCGCGGGGGCGGGGCCTGCACGAGGCGGCGGGGCGGGGGCGGCTGCCCGCGCCCCTCCCCCGCGCGGCGCCCAGTGCCAGGCGGGAGGCGGCAGCGGTTGGAGGTTTCACCCGGCTTTGCAGCGGGGACATTGGCGGCGGCGGCGGCGCCTCAGGCACCTCGGCCCTGGTGAGCCGCGCGCGCTCGGTGGGGCCGCTCGAGAGCGAGCCGGGCGGGCGGACCTGTCCTCTCAGCATGTGCCAGCGCCGGCTGACAGGAGCCGGCGGGGCGAGAGGCAGGGCCGGGTAGGGGGAGAGGGCTGGGGTAGGCGCGCGGGGCGCGGATCCCCGGGCCGGTGTGCAGGGGCTAGGGTTGCGGGCTGCTGCCGGAGGCGCGGAGTCTCGTGGGTAGGGGAGCTGGGGACAGAACCAGGTGGCCTGGGGAGAGTGAAGCGGGGTCCCCGTGGGGCGGAGGCTGCCCAAGGGAGGGTTTGGGAGGTGCGGACCCCTCCTGGCCGAGTGAGGAGTCGCGGGGAACGCGGCTGCCCAAGGAAGGTTTTTTAGGGACCAGAGACCGCCTGGTTGGGTGAGAAGAGGCTACTCGAGTCTGGGGCGCAGACCTCGGGGGCGCCAGGCCTGGGGGCGGGGTTTGAGTCGCCCTAGGGAGCGAGTGGGTGAGGGGTGGGCAGGGGCCGGGCTCACGTGGGGCCGGGGCGAGCTGGGCCCTGCGTTGGGAGGGGCGAGGGCGGCCGCCTGGCGTAGGGGTTGCCTGGCTTTGGGTGCGAGGCCGGCTCTGGGCCCTGAAGGTCTAGGTTGGGGGCCAGGCAGGGCGGGGCAGGGCTGGAGCTGGAGTAATGTGGGTGGGGGCGGCCTGGGAAGAGGCTGAG